TTGGAGTACAGTTATAATTGTTCATCAATTTTACACAAAATTATGTCATTGGGGTTACATTTTGCTTCAGTCATTTACTATAAGTGTTAAATTCAGTTTTATACAAAATACAATGACATCTCTCTTATAATTTACGTTTTGTTTACCTGATTTTCTGTCTTTATATGCACTGTGCAAGTTGGAGGTATGATGTATTTACAACGGTGTTATTTGACAATTAATTATTTAACTACATAACATTGTAAATCATATTGACAGTGAGTTTAAATAAGCTAAAATCGTGTCCATACAAGTGTATCAACATTTGGTAAATGTGATTCTCCACTTTGTTATCGCAACGGTGTCACCGACATTACTTATTCACTACTTTCAAATTAACGTGAAAATAATTATATAACGGTATTAAACTACAACCGAATTTTGACAGACGGGCGAGTCAGTGTTTGTATACATCGAAATCGAAACAACGATGATACAAATATGCACCCTCAACGATCACAGTATGAAACTTACGATTCGCTGGTGCTGTCATGCAAGACATTCTTATCAATTATAACCAACCTGTATCTTAGAGCTTTCCCGTATTCCGATTCAAGACGCCATTTTGGTGAATTATGACGACTGTTGGCGATTTAAGTTACCAGACCAATATTTGTAAACAGAATCACCAGCGGGAAACCCCGAAAAATTAAACCATCGGTACAAATCTACTGAGACTGCGCAAAATGTCCCACCATCCTTTGCGGCCTAAGGATGTAATCTGACCTTGACATCGATTTATCCCTCATTTTGACTTTTTTAAAGACTGTGAATGCTTTAAGATTTAAGGCTGAGTAGGACTAGGTCAGGGACTTTCCAGAAAATACAAAATTTTAGATTACCCCCAACTCCCTCCTGGATGCCGGTGTGAAATAAGTCGATTCTGTCCCATAATGAGAACCGCATAACCTCTTTCTAAAGTAATATCGCTGGAACTAAAACATATCGATCGAAAATATAAGTGATTGTAATTAACTATCATCGACTCACTCTTTTGCAAAAAATAACTATAGATGTGCAAATACTCCGGATAATCAAAATATGTCGACAATATAATTTATTATAGATAGCTTATCGGAACGTGTGAACTTTATTTGTTGTGCGGATGGATACAAATTTAAATTACCTGCGCACTTTTTGTCGGCCATTTTGGATATTGAGATCGTTTCGAGACGATAGTAATAGAGAAAAAAAGGCGATATTTTCTACCTAAAAGCTCAATATTGCGAGCAAATTGTTTACATTATAGCATGGTTCTTTATTTTTCCATTAGGAATACATAGCACCATGGCAGACAAACGAAAGCTCCAAGGTAAGAGGGGGCCAGAATTACGCGAAGGGGGGCATCGCACTATGACGCCATGATGGGATTATTATTATTATCGCAAGTTTGTTATTATTGTGTATTTTGTCCCTACTTTCTTTATGTAGGCTGTTAACATTTTCCCCAAAATAATCATAATTGCATTGGTTGACCAATAAATAAGGCTAGCGCGTTTTGTCCCGTTTTAATTTTTTTTTCAATCTTTTAAATTCGTATTTTCCCCGTCTTCAGCAAAGCGTGGTTGTCTACTCATGTCACACTGAATCAGTGAAAATGAATGTGTCCGTTTTTAAACAATGAACATTCTGCATATCCTTTGGTTATATTTTTCATTGGCTTAATTTCTTAAGAAACTTTTACAGATGTTTTTTCGTTAGTGGTATGATTTTTTTTCAGTGCATTCTGTCGGTGATGCTCGAGGGTCTTGCATGTATATTCCCGGTCCACTTTTACTTTTCTATTGTTATTGTTCTCTTGTTTTTATGGTCAACCATTTAATAATTCAATTTGTAATAATAATTTTGAAAGCAGTTCTCTTGTCTGAAAATAATAAAACTAACAACAGTGATGTAGTACATAGTTATTTTTCAAATCTGCACATGGCAAAACTGAACTTGATCAGATATTATTTTGCCATCATGATTACTGTATGGTAAATATTTAAAATGGATTTCATTGTGTCTAATGTTGATATCCATAAGTACATTTATTTTATATATAATATGCAGTCTTCATTGTCATGTATTTCAACTAATATTAGGATAGAATATGTATTCTATACATCTTTTGGATCTGAAAACATTGAGAATAACATGTGCATGCATTTAATGGTACACATCTGTTTGGTTTATTATGAATGCATTCATGCTTAGGCCAGTTATCAGTAGTTTATAACTGAACCATATTTTTTTTTCAAATGTATGGTTGCCAGGGTTGTTGTAAGAACAGAACATTATAGAGCAGGGCCCCCTACTCTCTAATTTCAGATAGAGCTCATTCAACATAACAATAAATACAATTGATGTATAAATTACTGTAAAGCTGAAAATTATTTGTGCAGTTTTATTTTTGCATAATCTGTGATAAAACAATTAGCGAAAAAATAAAATTGCATGAATATTTTGTCCTGACTGGTATTTTCTTTATTATATCATTGGGGGCGCTGTATTTCTTATCGGTACACTACATGTACAGTACGTACTATGATTTGCAACCCATGTTTATATTTCTAGTTACAATTTATGTAAATGTGAAAATAAAGTGTGTAACCTATTGTAGTAAGTTATCACCATCTAGCACTACTTCAGCGTCAAATCAGTGCTTGGAATTGCTGTAACTATCACACTAAAAATCAAATACGACCTACATGTAGCTGAGTGTCAATCAAGATTTTTATAGCCATTTGTAAAATGTTACAGTAGCACAACATACTGATAGTGATTGGAGTTGCACTGATGCTGTAATGCTAACATTAACACCTTTGTTGGCATCTTGCTTATACTTCGTCAAATCATTATTAGTCTTGATTAAACCATGGAAGGTACTAACGGAAGGAGCCTCAATGCTATTGTTTTAGTTTTACCCTATGATCGTTTGCCAATGTTTGTTCACAAACATTGGTTCTTGTTAACTAGCTCTTGGCCCCAATAGGTTACGCTGATCTTGAGCATTCGGTAATATTCAGAGCATGTTCGGTAGCAATAGACGAACTGCGCATGCGCAAGATTGAAAATGACATCTAGTTGAAACGTTGTTTCCGGAGATCTCGGTGAATTATAATGAAAAAATTAGCAGATATAACATCGATTGAAGAAGAACTGATGAACTATCGGGAATCTTTTTGTATTTGTAATGGTGATGAGACGTAATCAATGATTGCCTGTGACAATAACGATTGCATTATTCAATGGTACCATTGTCAGTGCGTGGGTTTGACGCCTAAATCTGTTTGAAATTTTCGACCACCGGGCATCGGGAGACACCACCAGAAAAGATAGTATTGAAAGAAGGGCATGCCTAGACTGAGTTTTTTAGAGTTTTTGTTGTAGATGCTCAAAATCTTGTTTTTGTTACAATTGCTAAAACATGTGAAATCAAACATTCATCTGGTAAATTTCCGGTTGTGAAATGTGTATTTTAACCTTTCACAACTAAACAAACCAAGTGCGCATGTGTGATGGCCGTAGTTTCATAATGCGCATATATTTTATGGTCACGTTAAAAATCGGCGAGGTTATATCATATTCTGCTAACTCGTTACTTGTATAAACACTTGCAAACTATCATGGACATCAAACTCATAGTTGCTGTCGACATAGGAAGTAAAGTAAGCAAATAACACCGAATAAACGGCAAGGTAAAGACTATGTCTAATTATAGTAAATACGTACTGCGTGCGTGACTCGAACCGGCGCTCGCGTACGGCACCTAATCGCCTAGCTACACGCCACTACACGTCTTCCCCTCGGCCACCGGGCATCCCCAAAAAAGGATGAGTAGACAATGTCCTTATCGGGATTAATTTGGGTTGAAACAAAAGGGAATAAGCCAGTTAAGAGGCTTAAATGGCCACTTGAGAGGCGCTGTGGCTCCTTCCGTTAGTACCTCCCATGATTAAACCTTGATCAGTGTCATCGCTGATTGCGTGTGCTGAAACAATTACAACTGAGACAGTTGACAATTGGTAGCCCTGGC